TCTCGAGTCTCTCTTGGACCGTCTGGAGGCCATCTGGAGCCCTCTTGGGGCCATCTTGGGGCCCTCTGAAGCCGTTTGGGGGCCCTCTTGGGCCGTCTTGGAGCCCTCTGGCCAGTTCGCCAGAAAAATATGCAGAAACAGGCCATGTGAGCCGCCCGGGAGCCGCTTCCCTCGGAAAAAACGAGGCGCGAGGGCAACTAGACTTTTGTTCCCCCGCTGGCCCCCTCCCCCAGACCCCCTCCCTGTAAGGGCTCCGCCCCCGGCGAAACGTCTCTCGCTCGTGCCTCGCTCTTTCCGTCGTCCGCCGCTCCCTCCTGCCTGCAGAGGGGGTGCACGGAGTGCCGAGCTTGCAGCTGCAGTCCATAGAGGGAAAAGAACTGTGCACAGGCACCGATTCTGGCCAGGCCCATCCTGAGCCCAGGATCGGTGCATACGCCCTCCTACCTTGGCCAGGACGGCATATGCACCGATCTTGGGTCAAGGATGGACGTTGTCAGGATCGGTGCATGTGCATAGCTCTCTTCGCCCGAGCCCAGACGCTGAAAGGAGGTCCTCATGGTGCTCGGGAGGGGCTCCGGCTGTCGGGCCGGTCCCTGGATCCAGGACGCAGAATCTACTCGTGGCCGAGGCTCGCCGTGGCCAGGACGCAGAATCTACTCGTGGCCGAGGCTCGCCGTGGCCAGGAACGTCCCGTCGTTCCCTTCTACGCGATCCTTACCGTAGCACAGAACCCCAGGAAGCATTTAAGAACCCCCCCGGCGATATCGTGGCACCGCACTTTTTATTCGATATTCCGAGGGGCCGAAATAACCGAACGATAGCTTTAGCATCCGGACACAAGGGGTTCGGAAGGGTTATCGAGGTAACGCTTCCAGCGTGCGGAAGGGTTATCGATTTGCCGGAGGGGGGGGGGGTTCTTAAATGCTTCCTGGGGTTACCTCTGGCCCTTCGGGCCATCCCAAAAGGTTCACAGTGGGGCCTCGGCTTGACCCGCAGGGCCATCCATAGGAACCCGGGCGGGCAGGACTCCGTCGGCTTTCCCGCCCAAGATGGCCCCAAGAGGGCCTCCAAGACGGCCAAGATGGCCTCGATTGTCTCCTGCCTCGGACAACTGGCGGCCCGATCGGGGCCTCCTAGACGGCCCACATGGCCCAACATTGTTTCCAAGGCGGCCTCGATTGCCTCCTTCCTCGGCCCAGATGGTCCCAAGATTTTGGCGTTTCCGCCTTTTCGGGCTACTGACAGCTGAAGGAAAAGCCCAGTGTTCTCAAATAACGCTCCAAGAAGGCCCCAGAAGGCCCCAAGGCAGGTCCGGAGAGCTCCAGCACGACCTAAGATGCCCCCCCACGATGGCCCCAATGAACTCCAGGACGGCCCGAAAGCACTGCAAGAGAGCTCAACGACCTCCCAGTGAGGCCCCCCACGACGGCCTCTGAGGGCAAAGAGGCCCCTTAGGGGTCTGGAATCCCCCAAGGGCCCAAGACGAGGCCCTCAGAGGCCTCATCCTCCTCCTGCTCCTCCACCTCTTCCTTCTGCCTCCTCCTCCCCCACGAATTGTCCAAACTGTTGCCACCACCGCTGGGGGATCGCAAATTCTAAGGATTACCTTGGCCAGTATTTGCCCAACCCTTTGGCCACGTAGGCTTTTTGAAACAGGCAGGGGGCGGCGGTGGTTCGCCGTGAGCGCCTTCGATCAACCGCTTCCTTTTTTTTTGATCGATTGATTTTCTATCAATTGATCAGTTTCTCTCAAGAAGGAAGCGATTGATCGATTGATTTTCGATCAACCGCTCCCTTTGTTTGCAAATCGGTGCTTGGCGTGCCGAATGTTCGGGTGCACGTCTGGCCCTCCCAGAGAAAGCCCGGCCGGCTCTCGGCGGGTCTGGCCGGCCACCCGGAAAGACCCAGGCGAACCCCAAAGGACCCTCCTCCGCCTCCCCCGCGCCCGACGACGGCTGCAAAGATGGCCTCCAAGACGGCTCCCAGCATGGCCTCCAAGACGGCACGAGACTCTTCCAAAACAACTCAGACGGCCTCCAAGTCGGAGAAGACGACTCTAAGACGGCCCAAGATGACCTCAAGACACCCCAAGACGGGCCAAGAGGCTGTCAAGGCGCTCCAAACGTTCTCCGAGAGGCCCTCTACGAGGGCCCAAAGATGGCCAAATCATTGATGATCGTTACATGTTCCCTACCTAGGCTCTGCCTAGAAGGGTTCTTACCCTCTGGGCTTAAAGGGCCGGGCAATGTAAAACGCCCCGGGCGGTTCCCCCGGCATCCGCCCCGCGGTTCCCCCAGTTACGTCCGCCCCGCGGTTCCCCCAGTTGCGCCTCTGCTTAGCTTAGCTTAGCTTAGCTTATCTCATCTTAGCTTAGCTTAGCCTAGCCTCGCCTAGTTTAGCTTAGCTTAGCCTATCTCATCTTAGCTTAGCTTAGTCTAGCCTAGCTTAGCTTAGCTTAGCTTACCTTAGCTTCGCTTAGCTCCTCTCATCGTAGCTTAGTTTGACTTAGCTTAGCTTAACTTAGCCTAGATGAGCTTAGCTTTGCCTAGCCTAGCTTAACTTAGCTTATCACATATTCGCCTATATTAGCTTAGCTTAGCTTAGCTTAGCTTAGCTTTGCGTAGCTTAGCTTAGCTTATATCATCTCAGCTTAGCTTAGCCTGGCCTAGCCTAGCTTTGCTTAGCTTGGGCTTAGCTTATCTCATATTAGCTTAGCTTAGCTTAGCTATCTTAGCTTAGCTTAGCTTAGCTTATGCTGCTTTCCGAGAGGCTCCGACAGCCCAAGCCAGCCCCACAGGCTCCAAAGATATCTCCCAAGAGACCCAGGAAACCTCCAAGAGGGCCACAAGCCGAGCAAAGAGAGCTCCAAGACGGCCCAACAGGTCCCCGAGGGGACCCCCAGACGTCTCAAGAGACCGCTTAGACGGGCCTACAGCCCCCCAGGAGGACCCCAACACGGCCCAAAAATGCCCCCAAGACGGACTTTGAAAACGTAAGACAGGCCAACAGAGCCATAAACCGGCCAAGATGCCCGAAAAGGCCCCCCTGAAGGCCCTGCCCAGAAGCCCCCAAGAATCTCCAGGAGGTCCCACAGAGGCCCCTCAGCGAGGCTCTCAAGGGGCCCCCCAAAAAACCCAGGAATCCCCAAGAGGTCCCAACGAGGCCTCCTTTTGCTTTTCCCTTTCCTCCTCCTCCTCCTCCTCCTTCTCCTCCTCCTCCGCCTCATTATCGTCCCTCTCCTCATCCTCTCGCTCTTCCTCTCGAAGTGTTGTAGGCACCTTCGATGGCAAAAGCGGCGCAGACGCAACCTTCCCGAGGTCCGCGCGGACGTGGGTGCTGCACCACCTCCCCATTTTAGGGCGGCGAGATCTATACATATCCACTGCTCCCTGGCCAGGCCCATCCTCAACACAGCAGCTGTGTATACGCCACGCCCTCCTGGTTTGGCCAGGAGGGCGTATACACAGCTCCTGGGTTCAGGAAGGGCCTGGCCAGGGAGCAGTGGATATATAGATTTCGTCGCCCGACATTTTCCTGCCCTCGGAGTTCTACTGACCCAGGTCAGTGCAAGCCTGGGCCAGTCAAACTCCGCAAGGTTGTGCAACGCTCTCCAACATGCTGCAGTATCCTGCGCACTGACCCGGGCAAATGTAGCCGTGGCGTTCTGGGATGCTGTAAGATCCGGCGCTCTGGCTGATCCCCGTTTGCATTGGCCCCCCCCTCTGCCAGCTCGATTCCCCAACGCGCGCCGCGCGCCGGGGGCGGCGCCGACAGGCGCCAGGAGTGGCGGGGAGGAGGGCCCGGCGCCGACGGCGCAGGAAGCAGAAGATCCGCGCGAACCTCCGAAGGCCTAGCACGCACTTGCTCGGCTTTCGGTGAAGCTCCCGAAGGAGAAGTGAGAAGGAGGGAGGAAGAAAAGGTGGAGGAGGAGGAGGAGGAAGAGGAGGAAGTTGAGGAGGAGAAAGAGAAGAAGGAAGAGATGGAGGAGGAGGAGGAGGAGGAGGAGGAGGAGGAGGAGGAGGAGGAGGAGGAGGAGGAGGGGGAGGAGAGGAGGCGCGGGCAGTGGAGGAGGGAACGCGGGAGTAGGGGAGGGGAGGTGGGAGGAGGAGGAGGAGTTGAGGAGGGGAGGTGGGAGTAAGGAGGGGGCGATGACATGAGCAAGCGGCCTGAAGCCAGTTGGTTACTCGGCAGCGCCCCCGCGGAGCGGCGCGCCGGGGCGGCGACGAGGGGCCCGAGGACACCCCGAGCAAGCTGCCCCCCCGAGGAGGGGTCCACAGCCAAGCAGCCCGCCGCCCCGCGGGGACAGGGCCCCCAACGACCGCCAGCGGCCGCAGGCACCCCGCGACCCAGATCAGGCCCCAGCCTTTCGAGTCACGCCCAGCGCCCGAGTGGCCGCGATTCTGCGGCCATCTGGCGCCGTCGCCCTTCGGCAAGGGCCAGCGCGACGTCAGCCCCTCAAAGCACTGGCAGGCTGCAGCGCAACGAGGGGGACCTCCCAGACGATCCCCCGCAGACGGCTGCCGAAGATAACCAAGCCCGAGATCGTGCCGTCCTCGTTGGGCTCTGGGTCGCGGTGCAGCTCCCCCTCGCGGCCGTCTGGGATGCGGACGCGGCCGCTGATCGCAAGGCACCACCGCGGCCACCGCGGCGCCGTTCCGATATTTTACGCCGTCTCCGCCTTAGCGGCTCCATGCACGGCAGCAGCTGCTCGAACGTCGACAGCAGATCCGCGCACGTCAGAAGCTGGACGAAACTGGGCGGCTCCATTCACGTCAGCAGCTGACCCATGTACGTCAGCAGCTCCACAAGCGTCAGCGGCTCCACGAACGTCAGCAGCTCCTCGAACGCCAGTGGCTCCACAACCGTCGGCAGCAGCTCCATCCTCCTCGGCCGCTCCATGCACGTTAGTGGCTCCACGAAAGTCTCCAGCCCCACGTCTGCGGCTCCACGAACGTCAACAGCTCCATGCGCTACAGCAGCAGCTCCAGAAACGCCTGCGGCTAATTACTTGGACGCCAGCGGCTCCGGCACGATCGTCAGCGGCTCCACAAATGTCCACGTTCTATCAGCAGCTCCAGCACGATCGCCTGCGGTTCCAAGAACGTCTTCGGCAACTCCACGAGCTTCGGCAGCAGCTTCCCGCCCGTCATCAGCTCCGCGAGCCTGGGCGGCTCCACGCCAGCAGCTGTTCCATGCATGTCAGCAGCTCCGCGAGCGTCCGCGGCTCCACGAACGTCAGCGGCTCCACGAACGTCAGCAGCTCCACGAACGTCGGCAGCAGCTCCATGCACGTCAGCAGCTCCATGCATGTGAGCAGTTCCACGAACGCCCGCGGCTCCTTACACGCCAGCGGCTTCACGATCATTAGCGGCTTCGTGCACGTCAGCAGCAGCTCCAGGAGCACATGAGTTTCCTTGAACGCTAGCGTTTCCCACAGGATCGCCATTCTTACGAACTCGAGCTCTGGCGGCAGCACGCACACCAGCAGCTCAACTATGCCCGCCATGAGGGTCATCGTGTCCTCGAACGTCAGCGGCTTTAGCACGAGCGCTATCATAACGACCCCCTGGCCCGCAACCAGCTACACGCTGACCACGTCCCCCTCGAGCACCGATGCCGCGACGGCAATCAGCGGCGGCGTCGCCCCGCGGCTCGGCCACGGCCGTACCCCCGAGCTCAGAGAGGTTGACGCCGTCGCCCTCCCTCGTCGTTGTCGTCGTCGTCGTCTTCGTCGTCGTCGTCTTCATCGTCGTCGTCGAAGTCGCTGTCGCTGCCGGTGGCCCCGAAGCCACGTGCCTGGCAGCGGCGCGGCGCCGGGGGCTAGCACCTCCCTTCCGCCCCCGCGATGGGCGCCTGGGGGCCTGCCAGCCGTCCTTGCCGCCGCCGTCGCATCGTGCAGCGCGTCCTCTTCGTCGTCCTCCGAGGCGCCCTGGTCCTTCGGCAGCTCCGGGAAGCCGCCACAGGTGGTGCCAAGCAACGCCGCCAGCTGCCACTCGTGCAGCGAGGGCCGCCTCAGGCCAGGCGCTGCAGGCTGCGCGAGGGGGCGGGGCACCATGGCTCGGCTGCGAGGGCCGGCTAGCCTGCACAGCCCACTGATGCACAATGACGCCGACGACGGGCACTGCGGCGCATCCGCCGTGGAGCGGCCACACCACGGCAGCGCAGCAGCCGCACCAGTGACCTCCAGCTGGCAGCCCCCAAACCATCTTGTGGCTCGCATCGACGCCGCACCATTGCGGAGTACGCCGATGCAAGCCGGGCGGCGGCTAGAGCCAGAATGGCTTGAGCCAGAATGGCTACGGCTACGGAGGGAGTGAGGAAGAGGAGGAGGAGGAGGAGGAGGAAGATAAAGAGATGGAGAGAGGAAGGATGGAGTCGGAGAAGGGCCGCCGGTGTCTCAGCTGGCCCTCCCCTGATGACCACGTTCTTATGGCTGACGTTCTGGCAAATCTCCAACTCGTCCATGAGGCGTTCCCGGTAGCCGTTGTCCTCCTTTCAGTCCGCGTCGAGCCAGAGAATCAAACCGAATCGAACTGTGCATGGGATCGGGCTGCATCGGCATGGAACTGAAATCGAATCGGATCGGCTGCGCCAGGATGCACAACATCGCCATGCAAGCATCGGGTCGCATCACATCGTCGGAACACCGGGATCGAATCGGATCGGGCCGGCCAACATCGAGATCACATCGGATCGATCGGATCGAATGGACCCCGCCTTGCTGCCCATGTCGAGCGCCACCTCCTTGACGACGAAGATCTGGCCCGTCTCGCTGTCCAAAGCCTGTGCGAGGAAGGTAATATAAGAAAAGCACGCATGGATACATTAACTTTTGGAGGTCCGTACGGATTGAGGGATGACCATGGAGGAGGACTCTGGACTTGCCAAAGCCCTAACGATTTCTGCTGCCTGTCGAATCGCATCGGATCTGCCAAGACTTACCCGAATCTCTCTGGATGATAACTATTGACGTCCCGAGGTTCATCTAGGTCTGCATCGGCCTGCATCGATTAACATGAATGTGCTTTTTACCCCAAAGATGCGACCGTTCCAGATTCTTTCCCGGGTAACGGCCGTTGCCCGGGGGGGGGAAAGGGGGTCGGGCGGGAGGGCGACGGTAACGGCGGCCGCGGCGTGCGCCCGCCAGGGTGCGTCCGCGCCACCGGCGCATCAATTGCCTGTGTACCCGACAATGCCCAATGTCTGCATGCAACACAGCGCCACTTGTGTACACACCACGGTGCCTCCGTACACCACAACAGCCGCGTGCACTGCAGCACCACATCGCCCATGCACACCGCAGTGCCTGTGTATACTGTAGCAACCGTTGTTTAGATTAGGGTTCGAGAAATTTATAGGATTATTCGAAGAAGCTTCAGAGAATATGGAGCGCTTCTGGATTCCACAGATGCCCATTTCTATATAGAATGTAAAACGAATCGTTATGGAAAGCGGAGCGCCTCTGGACTCCACGGAAAAACTGTTTGAAAAAAGAATCCCTCTGGAAATTGGGGCGCCCCTGGGAATACCAACGTTAAATACACACGTTTGGGGAAAAGTCCGCACGGAAATTGGACGCCTGAGAATTCTATACGCGTGCAACACAACGCCTGCATATACACCACATCGCCTGTGTACACCACAGCAGCCGCGTGCAACACAGCGTCGGTGTACACCACAGCGCCCGCGTGCACCACAGTGCTTGCGCACAACACAGCGCCTAAGTACACCGTAGCAGCCGTGTGCAAAGCAGCGCCGGTGCTGCCTGCGTGAACCACAGCGCCTGTGCACACCGCAGCGCCCGCGGGAGGAGGCGCGGGGCCGTCCAGCCTTCATTTTCTCCATGGCGTTGGGTCTACAATCGATACGCGCATTAAGGACGGGTGGTAAGGACGCAAGACCCTTGGAAACCGAAGTTGGGATGTATTTGCAAAAGCTTGCCACTGAAAGCGGCAAAAGACAGGCCGCAGAGGCAAGAACACAAGGGTACCCTAGAGAAGGCGCGCGTTCTTAGTAAGCGCGTTGACTGCATCGCACTGCAAACGAGCACCGGCCAAAAGGGAGAGAGAGAGAGAGAGAGCCACCGCATTTTGCACTTGCGCTAGAGTGGTCGAACCAGCCTGCGGTAGCTGAGCCATCGCCAGCTGCATTGGACGACGACGACGACGACGACGACGACGACGACGACGACGACGACGACGACGACGACAACGACGGATAACGAGCGTTACGCCGGAGAGGGACAAAAAACGCTCACCAATCGATTGGAGAAGAATCGCGAAGCCCCATTGGGATTCAGAGGTCTTCGGAGGCCGCTGCAGGTTCCGCTGGAGGCCCCCAGAGGTTCCAGGATGTCTCCTAGAGGCCCCCAGGAATGTTTTCACGACGCGGCCACCCGTTTGGGCCCCTTCCCTGAAACTCCTGGGACCGACTTTGCACCCCGAGGCGTTTCTCGGGGGCGTCCAAGAGGGGCGTCCAAGAAAGGGGTTTGCACATCATGGCTCGAGGCATCTCCGCGGCCCAGGGGAGGGGCCCGGGGCGGGGGGGGCATTGAAATGAGAAGATGGGGGCCGTGAAATCGCGGGAGATATCAGATCTCCAGCCCTGATCTCTCCCCCCCCCTCCCGTAGGCATCACCCCCCTCTGGGCCGCCCCAGAGTTCCGTCGACGGCCCCGCGGCCTGGGTAGGCCCCGAGGCGGAGGCCGACGATTGCCCACGCACGCCTGCGCCGCGATCGCTTCACACCGACGGGAAGCCCCGAGGAAGCGCCTGGGGAGGGCCTCGCGCGGCTGGCGGGGCGAGCCCAAACCTCCGCCGCCATGATTTGTTTGTCCAAGCCGCGCCCCAAAAGCCCTGACCCCTTCCCCCAGGGGGATCTTTGCTTCTCGTCCGGGATTCCTTTCTGATGGCCCCCTGGGCCCGAGAAAGGGCCCCGGGGGCCGCCATCTTCTTGGATGGGGTAGATGGTGGCTCATCTTGTCTTGTCTTGGGCGACAGAAGCCAAGCATTCAGATGAGAGACCGTTGCCATTAAGGCCCAGCGAGCTTTGCCAGGGCCTATTTGCACTGAGTTGAAAAAACATTCATATTCACTATCGTTTCAAGCAGAACCGCCGGACTGCAAAACATCAGATCTCCTCGGGTCTCTGGGAGGGCGCGCCCGCGCGCGCGCTGCCTCCTTCCTATTTTTTGTTTGGGGGGGGCTGCCGCCGCCTGCCTAATTTGTTCATTCCAGGTGCCCTTCCCTCTCTCCCTTCCTCCCTCCTTCCCTCCCTCCTCGCCCTCTCTCCGCCTCCTCTTAGTAAGCTGCGTAGGTTTCCCTCGCACTGCGTTGGTACAAAGTAGACAACGACCTCTCCGAGGCACTGCGCAGCTGATCATTTCCATACTTATGCACGCCACCGCAAATGTACATTACGAGCTGCCGAATCATTTGCCGATGCGCCGTCTTGGCGCGGCCTTTTCCTGTCCTGTCCTGCCGCCGCCTGCGCGCTGCCTGTCGCGCCCCTCGCGAGGGGCCGCACGTGCGCGCCTCCCCTCCTCATCCACCCTCGCAATAGGCACCCCGACAAGCGACGCCGTTTGCTCAACGCACCCAAGGAGGGAATACAACATGGAAGAGCTTTGTAGTAAACGCCCAGGGTTGCTTACAGCTAAGTATTGGGGCCAGAGTGTTGTGTTGTTCCTCCCTTGACTCCTCCCCCTCCTCCGTCCTCCTCCTCGCCTCCCTCCCTGCCAGCACTCGCCCACGCGTGGCCGAAGCGCGCCCAAAGGAAGCGGTGATGCTGTTGTCGTCGCCGCCGCGATCGTTCCCTGTGTCGCCTAGGTCGGGGGCCGCGGCCCGCAGGTCGGGGATTTTCTGACCCGGGTCAATCCAGACCCGGGTCAGCAGGAAACCAAAAACTGCAATGCAAGAAAAAAAAACTGCACCGCAGGTCTTCGCAGACCCGGGTCAGCCAATACGCGCGGCCGCCTCGCGGCCACGAGCGGCTCCCTAACCCGCGGCCACGAGGCGCCTCGCGGCCACGACGGTCAGCCAGAGGGGGTCTTCGCAGGATCCTGCAGGATCTGGCGCCTTGGCTGACCCCCGTCTGTATTGACCCCCGTCTCAAGGCTCCCGAGCAGGCTTTCAAGGCAGGACGCCGGCGCGAAACCTGGAATTCCTGCCGCGTTCCCCCCCCCCTGGGAGCTGCCACCGCTGTACCGCGCTGCCCCTCCCCCCCCCCTCGGGAAGGCCTGCGGAAGGCATGCGAAAGCCCATCGGCCGACCGGGCGGAAGCGCAGCAAAAGCAGGAGAAGGGAGGAGAAGGGAGGAGAAGGGAGGAGGAGGAGGAGGAGGAGGAGCAGGAGAAGGGAGGAGGAGGAGGAGGAGGAGCAGTTTAAACCAACGACGAGTCAACGAGGATGCCACAAACCTCCCTCCCAACTCCTGCTTCCTGGGGCCCTACTAGACTTGATTCTCATTGCGTTGCGGCGAATGCCTCGTTGGAGACACAACCGCCTGAGAATCCTCAATCTGGCCAAAAACACCATTCCTGAACCTTCAGCGCCGCAAATCAACGTGACTGGTGCGCCCTGGTTCAACCGTTCCTGAGGACTTTTCCTCACCACAGCGAATCAACGTGACTGCTACGTCCTGACAGTCCTGAATCGTGCCAGAACACCAGTACTGGGAAGTCAGCCATACGAACCCTTAACACTGCTGTCGATGTGAAAGACAACTGTGTGTGCGCAACGCCACGCCGACAGTTACATCTTGAAGAGAATCGCACTGCATCAGTGATACTGTTGCGCAGAATTAGAGCGAATATGCACAGAACTGCGGCGTGACCAACATTTTGAAAACCACCCGCCCTCCATCCGCGAAGGTTTTGCAAACTGTGAAAGCAAATGTGCGCGGCGCCAAGGCGAAAACCACACGTTGAAGGAGGACCCGCCGTCCGTCCCTGACATTGTTGCAAACTTCTCAAACGAAAGCGCCGTTGCCAAGGCGAGAGCCACATTTTGAAAACGGCCCGCCCCTCATTCATTCAACTGTTTCAAATTCCAACCTTCAGAATCATGGATGATGGGAACGTCTCAGGCGAAACGCCCTGCTCGCCCTACCGACACGTCTGGGGGTGCGACAGGGAAGAGTTGTTTATAAGGAAATGGGATGGAGGAGGAGGAGGAGGAGGAGGAGGAGGTGAAGGAGGGGGGAGGGGGAGGGGGGATGAGGAGCAGGTGGAGGTGGTGACAGTGGAGGGGGGAGGGGGAGGGGGGATGAGGAGCAGGTGGAGGTGAAGGTGGTGGTGGTGGTGGCTTGTGTAAGCATCGGTTGGGGCCGCGGCCACAGCCCCTGAAAGGGGCCGCGGCACCTCCCACTCAGGGATGGCTGCGGGGACAGCTCACCGCCTGTCGCAGAGGCTTCGTACCCCACAACGGCGCAACTGGCCAGAGACTCCTGGGGTCGTCTCCCCTTGGGGCGCCACCTCCCGCCACCTCGATCACAGGAAGGCCAGCAGCACCAGTCACCCTGTACATGAGAGCCGGAGCACCAGAACAGGAAAGGGCTGCAGCTGGGACCACCGCCTGGGCGAGGGGGGCGATGATATTCCCCCAGTAGGGCCCCAACAGGCTCCCGCGCCCTGCGGTCACCAGTGACGCACGGGGGCGATGGACAGTGGGAGCTCACCGCTCACCACATCTGGGACCCCGCCTGTCCGCGCCAACCCTGCCGCAGGGCGCAGCTGCGAGGCGTTCAGGGAAGGCCGGAGGGGGGGGGAAGGAGAGGGGGAGAGGGCAAGCTAAGTGCGCTCGCGCCATATCCAACATGATTGCGCTGAATGTTGTCTTTGCGGACGCGTGTCGTAACCCAGATGGAACACCAACAGAAAAACCCATCGTGTCATTTGCAAACGGCACAAAGGGGAACTGTGCACAGAGGAGGAGGAGGAGGAAGAGGAGGAGGAGTCGTCGTCGTCGCTTTGCATCGGTGTCCCTTTGTCCGGCCAACTAAGCCGACTGCTTCTGGGCACCGCAGAGCCTGGACTGTCCAGGGGGCCTTTGAAAGCAATGGGAACACAAGGCCAGGTGCCGCTGCCTGGGCGCGCGCAGCGCTCGCAGTGGCACCGTGGCGAGGGGGGCAACTCAAAACTTGTTGCGAGATTCCTCCCGCAAGCTGATGCGCCTATGTAAGGCCTCGAGGAGGAGGAGGGCGACGAGGAGGAGGAGGAGGACGACGAGGAGGTGGCAGGTGAGCAGAAGGGTGAGCAGGAGGACAAGGACCATCATGACAACGCGTCCTCGCCGTGTGGTTGGGCTTCGATGCTTCGGCATTGAAGCGCTAGAGGTTGTCTTGGCAAAGTATTTCCTGCTCCCAGCCGGGAGCACCGCAAGAATTCGACAGTATTTCTACACGAACAACACGTACCTGCAGGTTTTCACAAAATATGCCTGCCGGACTCGGTCCATTTCTAGATGGCAGCGGCAATGACCGCACGGACAGCAGCCGGCCCTGGGCTGGACTCTACTTCTCTTCTTCCTGGCCCGACGGATGTCCAGGGCGGCGTGGCTTTATCCAGGGACCGTCCTGGCTCCGCCGGCGGGGCGCACACACCGCCTTTCACGAGGTGCCCTGGGAAGGCTGGCCGGCGTCCGCGGGATTCACCTTCCCCGGCCGGCCGGCTTGGGCAAGACTTGAGACAAGGCGTGATCTTCCTCAATTTCGCGTTCTTCATCTGGGGCGCCATCCGGCGCTCCTCTCGGACATTGACCGTTCGGCGTCCGTTGGTTGGAGTATTCTGCCCGGCTGAACGGGGCATGGCTTCCGGGGAGGCGTGTTCTTCCATTTCTACGTCCTCTTCTCTTCGCTCCTCGACGCCGTCTGCGTGCAGTCGGCGTTACTCTCGGACAGTGGCCGTTCGGCGCCGGTCGAACGGGACAGGACTTCGTGGCGTGGTGTTCTACTTTACGCCCTTGTCTCCGCGATCCTCGTCGCCTTCTGCGTGCAGTTGGCGCTGCTCAAAGAAATTTCGGCGACCTTCCAGTCGCTCGCACTTGCACGCTCAGCCTCCGGCCACCTGTGCCGGTAGAGTCGGACAGGGCGGAGTTCTATCGAGCTCGTCAGCCCTTTTTGTTTTTTGTTGTTTGGGGTGTAAGACCGTGCTTCGCACCGACATCTTGCCTCATCTACACACCTATCAGCAGGAGGACAAGGTGGATAATGATGAAGGAGGACGAGGACGAACAGCAGCAGCAGGAACTGGAGTGGCAGATATGGGAGGAGCAGGAAGACCAGTGGAAGGCGGAGGAGGGGAAATGAGGGGGGCGAAATGGGAATGAAGAAAGACAACAAAAATGGCTCGCACTGGGGCCAGAGAGCCTTTCTGAACGACGGGAGCAAAACGCCGATCCGAAAATTATGCCCACGCTGCAGCGGGAACACTTTTTGGAATCACTGGCCACAGTCGGGATGCACAACGTTACACAAGACAAATCAATTTTGAAATCCTGCGTGTAAAAACAATACGCACGGAGTCAGGGAGAGTCAGGGAAGAGGAGAGAGCACCATTCATGTTGTGTCACTGTGGAGGGGGAAGGGGGTGGCTCTCCCCCCTCCAGTAGATGGACAAACAAGTGGAGCCCTTGACTCCGCCCCCTCCACTTGCCTCAGATTCAAAGTTGGTCCCAGGCATTCGGCAGCACAGGTGTGAGAGGACAACAACAAATAACCCCGAGGGCCTCCGCAAGGCCCAGCCCGACTTGGAATCTGGGAGGAGGGGGGGGGCGGCGAACACGGGGTCGAACCCGAAGAAGTTTCGCCTTTTTGTCACCTGACCGTCCCAAAGGCTGCCGCCGCCTTGTAGACGCATCCGTACGCCCCGCGCCCGATCATCTCGCCCTGGATGTACGCGAATGTGCCCTACGGACGAGGGGGGGGGGGGTGCAGCGGGGGGCGCACTGAAGGGCCCACGCCTCCTCAACCTTCCCCTCCTCCTCCTCCTCCTCCTCCTCTTCCTCCTCTTCCTCTTCCTCCTCTTCTTCCTCCTCCTCCTCCTCCCCTCCCCCTCCTCTTTCCTCCTCCTACCTCTCCTCCTCCTCCTCCTCCTGGGCAAGACATAGAGACCACGGGGTCCGCAACTCCCTACACATCTCCTCCTCCTCCTCCTCTCCTCCTCCTCCTGCTCCTCCTCCTCCTCCTTCTCCTCCTCCTCCCTCACTCCTCATCCTCCTCATCCTCCTCCTCCTTCTCCTTCTCGTCCTCCTCTTCCTCCTTCTCCTCCTCCTCCTCCCTTACTCCTGCTCCCTCCTCCTCTCCTCCTCCTCCTCCTCCGCCTCCTCCTTTGGCAACTCCTCCTCCACCTCCCCGTCCTCCTCTTCCTCCTGCTCCACCTACACCGCCTGCACCTCCTCGGTATATTTCTCTGCCTCTTTCTCTTTGTATGTCTCTGTCTCTGTCTCGTTATCGCTCTCTTCTCCTCCTCCTCCTCCTCCTCCTCCTCCTCCTCCTCCTCCTCCTCCTCCTCCTCCTCAACGGACTCACATGGGCGGCGCTCACACGTCTACCGCGCTGCGCTCTGGAAAGCCCGCCCCCGCTCGCGACGCGCCGCGCGGAGACGACGACCCGCGGGAGGCCAGCCTTGCGCGCCGCTGAACTTCCCCCGTCGGTGGGAGGGTTGGACGCCCGAGTTATCCGGGGAAACTCGGGTCCGGGGTAACTCGGGTTTGGATTCCCGAAAAACGAACCCGAGTTATCCCTGACCCGAGTTACCCCTGATGATTCGGGGCTCTGAGAGGGCGCCAGCTGAACAGGTGCTTTGGGCCCTCCGTTCGGCGCTCGTGGGGCTCCCGGCGGGTCCAGGCGGGCCGTCGTGCTGCGGCACAGCTGGCCCCGCGGCGCCCCGCGGCGGCGCCCACGATGCCGAGCGAGCCACGCGCGGCCCTCGCCAGGTGGCCGGCCGAGGTCATGAGCGCACGGCATCCCGGGCCCAGGAGAGGTACAGTGCGGCCTCCTGCCCTGGTCGGAGGCAGGCAACCACGTGTTAATCAGACTGTGGACCTGGGGCAGAAGAACACTCTCCAAAAACATGAGACCCTCCGCCGGCCAAAACACACACAGAACGTCCAAGGGTACCCTCACCCAGGATGTACAATAGCATCCAACAGACACGATGAATATTAGGTTACCCTCCCCGAGCCGACCTCGATCTTTATACCTCGGTTCGACTATGGCCCTGCAAACCAAGTTTCTGAAAAAGGCTGGGGTTCAGAATTTGAAGGATGTCTGCAGCCAAGTGAGCCCCAGCGGGGGTGTTCGATACCTCAGCGTCGGTTGGACCCGCAGGGGTAGGGCGGGCCTTTGGCCGTAGAGTGGCGCAAGACCAAGATCCTTTGCCCAGGATCGGCCCGGCAAAGATCGGTGCGGGCGCATCATAAGCCGGCGTCCACCGAGCCAGCAAACGCGCAGCCTGCCTGGCCCGCGGCGCGCGGTGCGGCACAAGGGGCTCGCGGGGCGGCGCGGGAGCAAGACGAAGCCAGGATGAGGACACATTTGGACGAGGACAAGTCGGGAATCTCCGAGAGCCAGTGGGCATGGAGCCAGGGTGCCCGACTTCGCGCGTCGCGCTGCGCGGAAAACTTCCCGCTCTCGCGCCGCCCCCCAGGGCCGCGGTTGGCTGCCACCGCACGTCAACCAAGACCCCATACAATGGTGGAGGCGCGTGCATAACAAAGTCGCCGACGGTTTGGCAGACCTTACAATGGACAGGCGGTGCACGTGGACCAGGAGATATCCTACTACGGCACAAGCGGACAAGGCCAACGCGGTCATCCAGACGGACGGGGGGCTTCGAGAGGGAGACTGCGCGGCAGCATCCCTCATCATCGGGCTCTGGGGCAAACGAGAGGGCGACGAACACGGCGATTACTTCTTTGAACCGTTGGTCGTGCACGGCACTTTTCTGGAGCTTCCGGTGACGGTATTCGAAGCAGAAGCTGTAGCGTTAGATGAGGCCTCCCGGGAGGCAGCAGCCCCTATTGCAGTAGAGTAGAAACAGCCGAAATTTCAGGCTTCTTGAGCTGCGGCACAGAAAGAAAGAAGAAAGGAGAAGGAGAGGATGAGGACTCGGAGCCGAAGCGCGAAGCGCGAAGCGCGCATGATTCTGCGCCCTCGAGGGCGCCCCATGTGGAGGATGCATCAGGCGCCGCGGCCGTCCCAGAGCGCTCCAGAACGCTCTGAGAGCATTCTGGAACGCTCTGGAAGGAAGTCGGGCGTGTCCCCCTACAGGGGGACTTGGGGCGACAAGTAAGAAAGCACTCCAAAAATGCCCCCTAATAATAATCAGAAGTAGTCAAACCATCGTCCCCTGACTATTTTCTTACTATTTTTGAGCACTCCCCCTGCCGAGGGACAGGCCCGATGTTCAACTTATCCTCATCCCAGACCTGCCTGAAGGAGGCCGCGGGGCGAGCCGGGGCTCCACCGGTGTGACGTTTCAGTCCGCGGCCCCAGAGGTCCTGGCCCAAGGGTGGCTCTTCGTCCTGGATCCACGTCCGATGGGCCCCAGGCGCGATAACGGGCCTCCGGAGGGCGAAATCCAGTACTCCAGAGGTCTCAACCCTCCCAGACGAGAAGTTTTAGACCCCCCCCCGTGGGAGAGCCCTCCAAAACATCGTCCCCAGACCCCCCCACAAGCCCTCCGAGATAGCCTGGAAGAGACCCCCCCCGAAATGAGACCCCCCTCCCTTTATTACTGACTACCTACCAGACCACCCCAACCCAACCCGAAGACCCGAATTTGACTCGGGTTGGGGGGGGTACGGGTTCCATGTGTTTTTTCAACGTTCCCCGACCCCCCCCACTGGAAATGGAGGGCAAATTGAGGCCTTCGGGTTGGGTTGGGGTGGTTTGGTAGGTGGTGAATTACGAAATCTGGAGTACAAACCGCCAGACTGAAACGATCATGGCCCTCGGATCTCTGGGCTCGAGGGCCCCCCGGCGGGGCGCGAGGCTCGGGGGGAGCAGGCCGAGGCGAGGATCGAGTGCGGCAAGATCGAGTCGAGGAGCAAGGACGAGACATGGGGTCGAGGGGTCATCGAACGTCGGGGAGGAGGAGGAGGAGGAGGAGGAGGAGGAGGAGGAGGAGGAGGAGGAGGAGGAGGAGGGGCCGAGGATCGGGGCGAGTACCCCAAGGCGCACCTGCCGGAAGCGCAACTCAGTCTCAGAAAGTCCTGGGTGCGCTAGGGACTGGTCTCCTTTCAGAACAGCCGAGGCCCTCCCGAATCCCTCCGATAAACCCTCCGGAAGGGCTCTGAAGGGCTGTGGCAGGCTTCCCGAAGAGTTTCGGGAGGGTTTTGGAAGGGTTTTCGTCGCCTTGGGGGGAAAACCAGTCCCTAGCGAGCCCTGGGCTTTCCAGACGTAGCTGCCAGGAGCGTTTACCACTCGGGGGTCCGCGCGGATTCTCTTCGGCCCGCGCGCACTGCTCGATCGGCGACTGTTGTTCGGTCGGCGCGCTTCTAAGCTCGGCACGTGATCGCTCTGATTCGGAGAGCAAGAAGTAGAGGGCGTCATGAGTACCCTCGTGTGAGGCACCCTGGCAAGCGAAATCGTCTAGTAAACGCACCTGCAGATGCATCGAACACGGCAGGATTCCTCAATTGTTGCATGGCCAGGCCTTTCTAGCAAACGACAAATCTGGGAGTCATGGTAGCCTCTGGGAGGGGACCTAAGTTAGGAGGACCAAAGACATTAGGTAGAGGGGGTGGATTCTTGAGATGTCTTGAACCAAACCGCCCAGATGGATCATCCCTAATGCAAAGACGGGGACCTAAGTGAGGCCACGTCTTCACTATTGTATTAGGGTTAGGGGGTCTTTTACCCTCGATGATTTCCCTCGTGAAGAAAAAACAAAACAAACGGTTCCGGAGATCCGCGCAAGTGTTTTCTGTCAGCGCATCCCCCTGGACGCGCATTCGGAGCCGCGACTAGTGCACCCCGCGCACCAAGGGAGGGGGGCCCAGGAATCGGGGCAGCCCTTCCCCCTTGAAAGCCCAGTCTTCTGTCAGCGCAGCCCCCTGTCCGAACGTGTGCATACGTGCCGACTCTTGGTCTGCAGTGCCGTGACGACCTGTGCGTGGTTTCTGACCACGCGCGGAATGTACAGCCTGGAAAGATCGCGGCTTTCCGAACGCGCAGGTCGATCGTCATCAGCCGATTCCGGGTCACTGGCGGCGCTCAGCTCTGAACGCCCGCGCTGGGGTCACAGCCGAGCCGACAAGGCGGGAAGATGCCGTACACACGCCAACCTGCCATAGATCAACACATCCTACTCCTCCGCCCCTCACAGCCTCCTCCTGGGGGGGTGGGGGGTGGAGCAGGTGGGAGAGGGAGAACACACGAAGATTGTGTTGCATCTTCGGGGGACCTTAACTGTCCCGTCGCGCCGCGATCTCTGCGTCGAATCCGTGTCAAGACCCGCGTCGAGCGCGTCGAAACCAGGTCGAATCCGTGTCGAACCCACGTCTGAGTACAAGACCAACTGCCATTTACAGGACAGGAGAGGCCCCCCGAAGATGCAACGCAACGAAGGAAGAGGAAGAGGAGCAGGCTCGGGGGGGTGAGGTCCGCCAGAGCGCCAGAGCCCCCCCCCTCCCAGGCACGCGGAGCGCTCCAGGGGCGGGGCCGGAGGCGCCGCCAGAGGCCCAGCGCCGATCAACGAAATCTGCGCGGACCTCCAACAGAAGATGTCTGTGCAATTGTTTCGTCTGCGACTCGAGGCGCACAGAAAGGGGGCGTAGGGGGAGGGGGGGGCTTCTTAGAAGGAAGCTGCTTCTTAGGAGGCGCCGGCCTAACATCTACAGACAAGGCCGGGCTTTCTAAGAAGCAGGGGTGCCTCTGAGAAGCCTTCCCCCTCCTCCTAACCCCCGTGGACGATTCGAGTGCGGGAAGAGGGAGACGAGGGATGATGGGCAGCGCAGCGAAGCGACGCGCGAGCGTTGGAGTCGTGGGCGCTCCTCTGTGGAGCCCACCCGTGCCCCTCAGGGCATGGCGTGGAAGCCGCGTCCTCAAAAAACACCCACTCACGAGCTCCCGGCCGCCGGACCCTCATGACAACCACCACCGCCGATGATGAGGGAGGAGAGGGACGAGGCAAGGAGGGAACGAAGTGGAGAAGCAGGGGGAGCTACAGTCGGGGCGTTGACCTGAGGAACCCTGAAAAAGGAACGAGGCCCCTTGCTCCCATAAGTTAAGTGTTGATTCCCCACGGAAAACGAAAAGGAAAACCCAAGGCAAACTGCACAACAATCAGGGAACACCGAGCCCCTCCCCAACGAAGAGGGTTTCTTCCTCCGCGCCCCGACCGTGGGACACGGGCCGCACGAGACGGGGGGGGGCGGGGGCAGGAGGCGGGAGGAGGGCGAGGGAAGCTCAGAGCCGGCGCGGCGCGCGGCGCAGGCGGCATGGTGGCGCACGCCGCCCGCCCGACCTCCCCTGCTGCCTGGGTCCCGACGAGGGCGAGGAGAGCACTCTGGAGCAAAAGAGCACCGCACTCTGGTAGCGTTTCGGAGGTGCGCGCAGACTTTTTCGGCCGGCGCTTGCGCCAAGGGCGGCGTCGGAGGCGCCACCATGGGGGGTCTGGCGCCGCCCCGAGCATACCCGACCTCGATCCCATCCGTATCCCCAAGATTGGAAAGCCCTAGGCGAGGACAGTCTTAGGGATATGCCTTCTGAGGCTGGGGGGACGCTTAAAACCGGCACCGAGACAAGGCGACGATGCCCATCTTTGGGATGTGAGGCCTGCCCAGGCTGGCGAAATAAATCCGCACGGACGTCCAGAAGTTTGTGTCTGTTCATGTTGTGTGGGGCCGAATTTCCGCCACCACTACCAGAGGTAGGGAAGGAAGGAGGAGGAGGAGGAGGAGGAGGAGGAAGACCTCCACATCCTCCCTTCTCCCCCGTCCTACCCATGGTAGTGGTGGTGGACAATTGGCCCATCATGCTGTGCTTCCCTGAAGGACTGGGAAGGGGGAGGCGGACCGGGAGTGTCGGGCAGACGCTCCCAAGGATGGCGACTTTCTGGATCTGGCGCGTGGGCGCCAGGTCCACCGACCGGGACGAAACATGAGGCCAGCGCCTCCAGACTTGGCGACGGAGCGCGTCGAAGTTGCATGGGAACGCGACCCGTCCACGCGCAACGCAGCCATCGTGCCACCACATGAAAACGCTGAATAAGCAACGAAGGGGCACTTCTGGCCACGGCGCTCGTCGAACACGAAAAGGTTCCCCGACCTATTATCCAAGGGGCAACCCCGACGAGTGCCACCTTACGAGCCACGCCAGAGGTGGCGTCCGCCATACCTCCTTGGTCCTGCTCCTCCTCTTCCTCCTCCTCCTTCTCCTCCTCCTCCTCTTCCTCCTCCTCCTCCTCCTCCTCCTCCGCCTCCTCCTCCTCCCCCCCACGGGGCTCCTCCTCTGCCTGATTCTCTTCGATCCTCAAGGATCCTCCTCCTCCACCTCCTCCTCCCTCCTCGACCCTCCCTCCTCGACCCTCTACTCATCCGACGATCCTCTCCTCCTCCGCCTCCTCCTCGATCGGGCACACGGGTATACACTTGCGTCCAACAGTACATACAATGCACGGAACGGGGCCCTCCTCCCCCTCCTCCTCCTCCTCCTCCCAGATCCCCCTCCTCCTCTCCCTCTCCTCCTCCTTCTCCTCCTCCTCCTCCTTCTCCTCCTCCCAGATCCCCCTCCTCCTCTCCCTCCTCGATCCTCTGAAATGTCATGTTTGTCCTGAGTTTTCCTTAGTCGACCTCCTCCGCCTCGGGGGGAAGGCGAGAGCCCAGAGCCCTGCCCCCCGCGGCGGGCCTTGGAGACGTCGAGGGGCGAGACGAGGCGGGAGCGCGAGGGCGGGCTCCTGACGCAGCGCAGGCCGCCTCCTCGTTCATGCTTCCTCCTCATCCTCCTCCCTCCGCCCCTCCCTCCCTCCCGCCCGCCCACCCGCCCTCCCTCCCTCCCTCCCACCCTCCTCCTCTCCTCCTCCTCCTCCTCCTTCTCCTCCACCTCCCTCCTCCTCACTCACTCACTCACTCACTCACTCACTCACTCACTCACTCGCTCGCTCGCTCGCTCGCTCGCTCGCTCGCTCGCTCGCTCGCTCGCTCACTCTTCGCTCCTCCTCCTCCTGTCGATCCACCCCTGTCCTGGAACACCAGCAGGTGTGACTGCGAAAACCGCCATGACCCTCTTTTTTTTTCTGGGGTCGGAACACAAAAGTGGGGAGCGACAAGGGCAGCTGAGACAATCAACTCGCGTGCGAAATGATCGGGTCTTCCCGGCGCCTCCTGGCGCTGGAGGCGCCAGTGCACCGAGGAAGGCGCCCAGCGGCGGGGCTGGGACCACCTGCACGCAGCAAATTCTGCAGCTGCCTCCCCCCCGCCCTGTCCCTTACGCTTCCGTCCGACTCTCTGGTGCGACCCGTCCGGGGCAACGACGAGGTACCACCACCGCTGCTCTTGGCGGCGCGCAGAGGGGCGCAGGGGGGAGGAGGCAAGGCTTCTTAGAAGGAGGCTCCTTCTTGGAAGGCGCGGGCCTCACATCTACAGAGAAGTCCCGCACCTTCTAAGAAGCAAGGGTGCTTCTAAGAAGACTTCCCCCTACCCCTACCCCCCATCTGCGCGTGGCCCATACTCCTCGGATCTCTCCAGGGATGCGTTCTTACAATGATTTCGAAGCGAATCCAGCCGTGGTGACGAGGGAAGGGTATTAGTATCTGTTCCTCCTCTGACCGTCCGTCCGGCCGTCCCCTTCCACCAAACCTGTCCTAAGCATGAGCGACTTCTGCAGAGGAAGAAGAAGCGGCATCAACATAAACTACTGGAACTCCGCGCGGAATTCTTGGATCGGCGCTGGCCCCCCCTCCCTGGCGGGGCGGCGCCAGGGGGACCCGCCCCAGAAATGCGATGCAGCGATTACACCCTGCGAAATGCTTAAGAAATCATGGGTTAAGAAATTCATAGTCTCAGAATTTGAATAAAAACCCAAAACTTCTATCAAAATCCTGGGATGTACATTGAAACATTAAGAATAATCGAGACTCTGGCCGAAAACTCAAATTTTCTTAAGCATCGCCTAAGGTGTACGGCAGGTTCGGTTCCCGTCGTGTCGACTCCAGCCTTGGCTCCTGACACCGCGGGGGCCGTCCAGCCCCGAACGATCGGCCGATTCCGAAGCGGCAGACCGTTCGACATCGACCGAGTCTGGGTCGCCGGCGGCGTTCCACGCTGAACGCCTGCGGCGGGGTCGCCGCCAGTCGACACGGCGCAAACCTACCGTAGCTTCCTCTTCGGGGGAAGCGTGAGACTCGGGTTCGGGAGCCTCGGGTTGGCCTGACGGGGCCGCCGGGAACATGACGAGACCCGCTCGGAAATCCGACGCGAGCTCCCGCTGCAAGCGTCCCACTAAAACTGGACCGCACAAGTCCACGACGGGCGCGCCAAAAAGCGACGGCAAACCCATTTCATTTCGCCGACATGGAAGGAGGAGGAGGAGGAGGAACTTGAGTCTTACATTTCGCCGACAGCTGACGGTCCGTCCGTCCGTCCGTCCGACCCTCCCGTCCCCATCCGCCCGACCCGTCCGAGGCCAGAGCGGCCGCTGGTGGAGGGGAAGCAGGCGGGGACCCTGACCAAGACTGCACGTGGAAGCGTCGTGCCGATCTTGGTCACCGTCGATCTTGGTCAGTGTCAATTCGTGGACAATCCTCGCGAGTCGGCGACGGCCGACATGGACCATGACCAAGATGGTCATCGACAAGAGCCCGCGACATCTCGGTCAGCGTCCTCGTGCTATTTCTCTCGGAGAATGGCCCGGGCCAGGCATGGCTGTGGTGTACAAGTCTGCTGCAACTGAAGGGGGCCTCCCATACCATCTTGTTGACTCTCGCGAATCGACGCTAATCGACGCGAACTCGACGATAGGGTAGGTTCAATCGGCGTCGGCGCGCGCAAAGGTTTTGGACACCATGTCGATCGCTCAACCTTGACTTGATCGCGGCCCCGATCGTTCAAAGTTGACTTCAGTCGGGTCCAAGGCTGTTACCATGTCCATCGGTCGGTACCTCCGCATCGCAGAACTCAGCCTTGAACGCCTTCGCCGCCGTCGCCAGCGCGCCCGCGCCGCATAAAACCCACCGTACCCCGAGATCCGACGTAGCGAAAACACTGGAACATCGGAGGAGGAGGAGGAGGAGGAGGAGGAGGAGGAGGAGCCCTGGACCCCATCTTTCTGCGCCACCTCGCGAGCTGGACCGATCTGTGAGGGCCCCGTGGCCCGAAGACGGGCGGACACGCCCGGCCTGAACACATCGAGCCGCAGGGATCTCGGGGCAAGTCGGCGCTGCAGTCTCGGACGTGATTGGAGAGGACAGGCGAGAGGACACGAGACCCTTCCGAAGGCCACTTCGCCATAGGAGTGTAAGAAGGCACGTGGCGCGAGGCAGAGGACGCAAGGGTGCCCTTGAGCTGGCAGGGTCGACCTAATTATACTAATCAGGGCCGACTGTATGTCACATACAGTCGGCCGAAGGAGTAAGGGGACCATGGCCACATACAGTGTATGTGGCCATGGTCCCCTTGCTCCTTCCCTCGACCTGGCGACGCAGTTTCGGGGGGGGGGGGGGAGGACGGACGGGGCCCGTCGCCCCCCCGAGCGGCGCCGCTGGGGCGAGCGGCGACGCCTCGCGAGGCAGAGGCGGCACCCTCCTGCGGCTGCTGGCGCAGGACTCCCCCGTGGACGCCGGCGACCGCGCCTGGGCGCGGGCGCCGCTCGCCGCTCGCCGCCGCCGCGCTCGCGGGCCGCGAGCTCCCAGGGAGCTCTAACATGGCATGTTAGAGCTCCATGTGAGCCCTGACAACTCGGCATCTGGTAGTCGAAGGAACGACGAGGATGACGAGGATGACGACGACGACGACGAGGATGACGAGGATGACGATGATGACGAGGACGAAGAGGACGACGACGACGACGAGGAGGACGGGTCGCCGCGCTCGCGGCCGCCCTGCAGGATCCTGCGGCGTGCAGGGTCGGGCGTCTGCGCCGGGCCTCGAGCCCGGGGGCCCTCGCGGCGGCCGGTCTGGCAGGCGGACGGGGCCCGGGGCGCGCGGGCCGTGGCTCTGCGGCTCGCTGGCTCTGTGGCTCTGCGGCTCGCGCGAGGGCCTGGCGGCGGGAGCTGCCCGGGAGTGCCCCCCCCTGGCCCAGAGCGCTTCTGCTGCCCCACCTCGGGGCCAGTGCCCTATAGATCTGACAAGTTATCTTTTTTTTTTTATATTTGTTAACTTTTCTGTGGAAGTTGTCAAAGTTCCAGGAAGTTGTTCACTTCTTGAAAGGTTGCTAGCTTCCAAAATTAACACATTTGGAGTTGTTAAACGTTTGCGAAAAAGTTGTCGCACACCGACGCAAAAGTTAACATCTGGAGCGCCCCCCTGGCCCAGGAGCGCTCCTGCGGCCCCACTGCGGGGCCGGTGGGAGCCCCTTTGGGCCTCCCCCGGAGATCCAAAGATAGGGAGCCCACAAAGGACGTACGCACCCAGCTATGTACACGAACACGGCCCCTCGATCTGCGAGACCGGCCGCGTGATGCGAACATTTGCGCAGTGCGTACTCTCGAAACCCGCGTGGATTCATGTACGTGTACGTCCTTATTTCAGGAGTGGAAAAAACACACAGACACAATTAATCGTCGATCCCCAGGAAAATATGGGAAAATATGGGAAGTGGTGGGGAAGACAAAAACCCAGAAAATATAGGAAAATATGGGGGATCTTTTTATTTGTGTGTATTTATTTGTGTGTCCCAGTTTCCCTTCATTATTTCGCTCCTGAAGAGAGGACACTCTGGGGCTGGGGCGCCTCTGGCAACCGTCGGCGGTGGGGGCGCCCATCGGGCCTCGGCGCGCCCGCGGCGGGGAGGCGTCACCGGAGGGCGGCGAGGGCGGTGGCGCGGCCCTGCGCGCGACGCCCTGCAGGGGGGGGGGCAGGCTGGAGGCCTTCGGGGGCCCCCCGAACGGCGCGGTGACCACACCGCAGTGAGTGACTGCCTACCAGACCACCCCAACCCAACCCGAAGACCCGGATTTCGGGTTGGGGGGGGTATGGGTTCCATACGCGTTGTTTCGATGTTCCCCGACCCCCCCCCACTGGAAATGGAGGGCAAATTGAGGCCTTCGGGTTGGGTTGGGGTGGTTTGGTGGGTGGTGAGTGAGGACTCGGGGTCGCGGGCTGCACCTGCATCCCTGCCCCTTCGGCCCGTCCTTGGCAACTTTCGCTGGCCAGCCCCGTTCGAAAAAATGTCGACCGAATCTTCCAAGGCTGTTGCGTACGAGGACGAGGACGAGGACGAGGACGAGGACGAGGAGCAGGGGGAGGCAGGTGTATGAGTATGAGTATGGCCATGTGACAATGGCAACCAATGCCTACCCACGTGTGATACACAAGGAGACAGAACTGTACCGCATTAAACTATACCTCTCTTGCGCTTCCCAACTGCGCTCAGAACCTTGTGCTCGAGACCGCGCGAAATACGGCTCAGATAGTCAGCCCGATTGGGGATGACCCTATCGGCGCATACCTTCCCCAATTCATGGAGCACGGCAGAAGCGTAGCATCCGCGCGCCCTGCAATACCACAGACGGAGCTTAGACGAGAACTGCACAACGTGGGACGGGTCGGCCCACCCCCCGCTATGTGGAGCTGAGCGTTGGGGAGATTTGTAGAAGATAGACCCATTAGAATTTATTGGCTGGAAACAAGGACTATTTAGAAACTGATTGGTCGTGGCCTTTGACGCTGGCCCTCCACGCCTGCGACAAGCCCTTCCAGTGTCATCCACACAGTGAGAGGACAAGAAGAGGGAGAGAGAAGCAGCAGCAGGACCCCGACAACGTTTCACAACATGCCCCTTTTCCTCGACGACACCCGCTTCGAAATTCAACGTACCTAGAGTGGCACGAAGTAACCGCATCCTGACAAGAAACGCACGACGCTCGTGCAACAGAACACCTTGACGAATGTGTTCGGGCAAACGAGCCTGTCGGGCGGCCACGCTAGCAACGCCATCGGCAGCCGAACTACCTGTGATAAGCCACCGCTACGACCGATTCCTCGCAGTCGCAGTCTCGCCTAAATGGGAGCTAACAAAGAAGACAGTGACATCGTCGGGGCAGCGGTCCTGCACGCGCAGGGTCTCGCCCAGCGAAGCTCATAGATCGGCGCAACTTGCCGTGGCCCAGCAAGGGGCCCAAAGACACAGGTATGGATGCCCACTTGAGGCTCCAGAAATTTGGAAAGCACGACCCCAATACCGACCCTACGGAACAGCCCAGAGGAAGTGTCCTCTCCACTCGAGGCATCCCCAAATAGGATCGACGGGGCCGAGGGGGTCCCCTGACCCAAAAACCCCAAGGAGCAAACCTCATTCGACCCTGCAACCGTCCAGTCGTCCATTTCGGACGGCGCAGGCACTTCAGTCCACTGACTGGGGATCATGCCGCGCGGCCAAAAGGCGGGATTGCGAAACAGCCTGCGGGGTAAGATCACTGGTGCGTTCGTGCGCCACGTTATCCTTGTTCGCTTCACACGTCAAGCAACGATGCAGCGTTGTCTCTGGGTACTGATGGCGCCGATGGCATATCTCCGAACCCTGCAACCCAGCGAGCGGCCCCTTCTTCCGAGCTCGTGGCCAGGCCCCACCACTGGCACGCGTCAACATTACAGCAGGTAGGCGATGGCCATACTTGGGCACCTCATCCAATTGCTTCAACAACGCATGGTCAGATTCGCAGTCGGCCCCCAATTCCAGGCCACCACCGCAGCAACGGCAGCTCGCCACCCTCCACTGACGCATCTCGAGGACATCGGCGAAATCCCGAAGGAAGCCTTTGTGATAATCCAGTGCCCTGATCCCAGTAATTATACATCTCATCTGTAAACCTCCAGTCGCCACCTGCAGCAGTATGGGGAAAAGGAATAGTCCACGTCGTCGCATCAGCAACTCCCCAACCTGCTTCGATGAGGTGGAGCAGCACGGCGGAGACTGGCCCCCCCACCAACTTGGACCGATGGGAGGGCTCAGCTGAGGAAATCCGTTGGGCTAGCTGGCCCCATACCGTGCGGATGCCTGCTCGCAGGTCTGAGTGATCTCGCCAAATCTGGGGGTACATTTCGGCGCACAGGGCGGGGGGCCTGACCCCTGGGCCCTGGCCAGCGGCGGGCAGGGAGGTCCGGCAACGGCCTTTAGCGGGGGCCGCGCAGGAATGACCGAGTCCACTGCGAGCCTGTGGCAGACGCTGGCCACAGGTGCCGTGGATTTGAAATCCATGGCCTCCTGCTGCCTGCGCCCCTTGCCCTTCAAGCCGCTGCGTTACCCTATAGCGACGTGCAACCTTCGCATATCGACCAACCTTATCTGACATGAGGCTGTGATTGCTGTCTCGCTGACGTCTAGTTGCTCTCGCCAAACGTCGTCCACGCGCAACGTCAACGCCGAGGAAGCTGGCTTGGCTCTGGGGCTGTGGACTGACGCCTCGGCGCTTAAGTGACTGGCGAATCCACTTAGCATCGGCCGAACTAGAACAAACAACAACAGACTTCGGTGACACCGCCAGCTTCTCTGCCTGAGGACCAATGCAAGTGTCCAAGATACACGCTCGAAGTTGGGTTCGGATGGCAGGCCTCGGCCCTCGCACTTGCTGAGGTAGATCATCGATCCACGCGCGGTGGCTCGCCGACGGATGCGCCGAGACTATCTTCGGCAGGATGAAGTGCGCCATCGTGCGGCCGAACCTTGTTCCCGAGCGAAGTCCCTGGACGATGCTCCTCGTCGGCTGAAAGGGAGCCGGCGGGGGCCCCGGCCGACTCGACACTCGATCAGAAACACATTGCAACAACTCCTGATGTAAAAAACGCGGCGGGAAGGACAGCAGCGGATTGAACTAAGCACGGCCATTCTATTGAATCATAAAATGATTGAATAGCACACAACCCATGTTCCACCTGGGCATTCAACTGATGACAAACTTCCTCCTAAACCGCGCGGAAGTACGCTTCTCGCAGACTAGAAGTGTCACTTATCGCCGCATCCCACCCCTCCTCTGTCTCTGCCGACCAGTCCCGAACGAGCGGCCCCCTGATCAAGGGCCACAAGCGACCGAGGAGGGACACCGACCCAATGATACGATCACCAGATGTTTTCTTAAGTCGCATACGAGCCAAGATGAGCAGCAGCTGCGCAGGCCAGCATAGGCACTGCTCACAAGACTCGAACACCAGGATGAGCTCGCCCAGCGCACTATCAGGAAGCCGCTCCAGGTCCAGCGGGGCGACGAGCCCACCCCCATGCCAGTGCCAGGGCGCCTTCGGCGCAGGGCCGCTCGCGCCTCAGCAACCGAGATGCTGGGCAGGGGCTCACCCTTGGCTGTCGCCTCGACAATGGCGGAATCCTGAAACGCTGCGTCCTCATCCAAAGCTGTTTGCCCCCAGAGGTGGTGCCGGTGCTTGGCCTTGGCGTCAAGGATGTCTTTTGGGTGGCACAGGACAACGCCGCCCACCTTGAGCTCGCCAGCAGAATGGGGCGTCGGGACCAGCGAACGGCGCAGCTTGCCCAAAGGAGCCTTGTCGTCCACGAAATCGCGGAACTCGCAGAGGGACTCCTGGACCGCGCGTCGCTGGCTCCTGGCGCTGACCCGCTTCGCCATAGAGACAAACGTAGCCATCCCCGCGTCGCTCGCCGCCTCATGCTGGGGCGCGAACTGCAGCCAGCGGGCCCAAGGGGGCACCTTGCCTTCGAGCAGCGCACAGTGGGTCCTAGCAGGCATGGTGTCAACATGCATCCGAATGGCCTGCAGATAGGTGCCGTTCTGCCGCTGCCGATGGCGCTGGATGCCGCGCGGGACTGCGCGGAGTTGCGGCCGCCAGCAGCTGGCCAAATTGCGAAGGGGAGCGAACGTCCGCTCGGTCGGCATCCGCACAATCTGCATGAAAAACGGAACCCCGTCAGCGCGGCGAGGGCCGGGAGGGGCCTGAGAACCATGATGCGAAGTAATAGTGCGTTCATCTGTCGCGGCGAAGAAAGCGTAGAGCCCCGCGACCGCAGGAATGACATCAGACTCGGGCCGGAACGCTACGGACTCCAGCAAGGCAGGAGTGAGATGATGACATTCTTGCGAGCCAGAGTGAAGCCCCGCGCCCTGGCGACAACGCTGCCAGGCGTCTTCGGGAATGTGGAGAAGTTGGGCAACACGTGCCGCGCAGACTCCCGAAAGCCCCCACCCTGAGACGTCGTCTCGGCTGCCAACGGGGCATCGCTGAAAGAGGCAAGCGCTGATGAGGGAACGCAACGCCTTGCCGGCAGCACCCCGCCCAAGGAAGCCGCGGACGGGTCGGAACCTGATGCCCCCAAGGGCGAGCCCTCAACAGTGGTGTCACGCGCAGAGGCAGCTGACAAAACTGGGCGGTTGGCCTGTCCAGGACCGAAATTCGGCTCATCAGCCCACGGATCCTCTTCATCGGGCCAGTTCGCCACATCAAAATGCTTGCAATCAGGACTATCTAAGACAGCGCCACCAGCTTCGGGAAGGGTACTTTCACCCCGAGGCTCCCCCTCCAAAGGCTGATCCCCTTGGGATTGGAAACAACCACCAAACGAGGTACGCGTTTGGCCGAGCCGCTTCTCGGCAGCCGCAGCTCGCTGGAGCTGCTGCCGAACCCTAGACAGACTGGACTTCGAGCCTACTCTAGGAGCCACTTTGGGCCGAGGAACCTGCGGGGGCTTCCCTGGGGCTTCCGTGCCCCGAGTGACTAGCTGCTCCGCAGAACCGTAAAATGCGATGTGCAGGCCTATATGCAACGCACTGGCACACGTGTCCCAATCGGCCACAACCGCCCACGGAAATTATAAAGGGCACAAGAACCCAGCAAGTCGTCGGAACCGACCGAGACTGGCACCTCTCATCCCCAAACAAGAGT